CTTCTTTTTGAGATGAGCCCTGAGAAAAGAGCCCTCAGTCCCATTCTGGGATTTGTCACTGTGGGTGATGTCTGTGTGTTTGTCTTCCTGCAATTCAGGGGAACACAAGGGGTAATGACCAGGACCCCTGAGTGTCCTCAGGATCCTAGAATCCTGAAGGAAAGGTCAGTGGTAGCCAGAGAGAAGGGAGAGGAGGGCCTGCAGGCCGAGGGAGCGCGAGGGCAAAGGCCTGGTGGTGCGGGAAAGGGCCAGGCAGGACAGGGCAGAGGGTGCCGAAGGGAGCAAAGGCGCAGGGGCCGAGGTTTCCGCTTCTTCCTGCAACAACGCAGGAGAACAGAATGTGCACTCAGAGGACTACAGTGGGGAAGGGGCAGGGCCGGGGTGGGCAGAAAGTGTGGACCCAGCAGAACGAGTGGGAGGGTCTGTGCTAGAAGGGTGCAGCGCCAAGGGCCTGGGAGAAGGGACAGAGTTCCCAGGAGAGGAGGAAGGGCAGGAATGAACCAGAGCTGGACCAACTCCATCTGTTTCCTAAGAGGCTGTGGCAAGCTGACCCCGGGATTGGCCTGAGCAGCAGATGCCACCTTACAGCCTTCTACTGGCCTGCTGTTTACTGACCCATCCCCTAGCTGAGGAGTACCTAGGATTTGCAGTGCCCAGGTTGGGTTCCAAGAGCTGTGTCACCACTCCAGTGGTCCACCCCAACCAGACTTATAGGACCTAATCCTGGGAAAGGGGTCCTCCCATCCCATGCAGGACTAAACAGGAAGACACACTTCCTGTCAGCAATGCCTGGCCCTCCAAGTCCAGGGACCCCCACTGGAGCTGCAGGGGTTAGTAGGCTCAAAGGAGGGACAGGCCTTGACCATCTGTCAGCACTGCAGTCTCAGTAAACACACTGAACAAATGAATGAGCTTGTGACCCTCTGACCTCAGGGAAGCTGGGGTGCCAGGCTGGGGAACCGTGAGTCCCTCACTCTGTACTTGTTTATTGACATCACCTCGGAAGGGGCACTACAGTGACCCTGAGCACACTGAGGGGGGCAAGATCCCCGAGTCCTGGACCCACTGGGACATGAGGGAGCAAAATGCCCAAACAGTTGCCCTGTAACTCAGGGCTGCTCACTCCACCCTCCTCCTCAGGATCCTTCTCAGAAGGACACAGGAGAGGGTGTCCTAGAGGACTTGGAGCTACAGAGAAAATTTCCAGCCTTCCCTAACATATGCCCTGGGGCTTCATCTGATCTGGTACTAAAGGGTTCAGCCTCTCTGGCCTCACCTGCATTGGAATCCTATTTTTCCCACTTTCTAATGGTGTGGTCATGAGCAAAGTCACTGCTCAACTCTTGACTCTCAGGGCATAAAGGGCAAGAGACGCTCATGGGGCTGTGAGAGGTGAGGAGCAGCTGCTGGAAAGCACTAGGCCCGTCTGGGCTTCCACTGCTGTGGTCATACCTTCAYTTTTTTTTTTTTTTGGTATCGGGGATTGAACTCAGGGGTACTAGACCACTGAGTCACATCGCAGCCCTATTGTGTATTTTATTTAGAGACAGGGTCTTACTGAGTTGCTTAGTGCCTTGTGGTTGCTGAGGCTGGCTTTGAACTTGAGATCCTCCTGTCTCAGCCTCCTCAGCTGCTGGGATTACAGGCATGCGCCACTGTGCCCAACCCTAGCCCTTTTTTGTATTTCATTTAAAAAGAGGGTCTCACTGAGTTGCTTAGGGCCTAAGTTGCTGAGTCTGGCTTTGAACTCATGATCCTCCTGCCTCCGCCTCCCGAGTCACTGGGACTACAGGCATGTGCTATGGTGCCCGGCCCTCATCTCTCCTTTTTATTGCATAAATCAATGGTGGATTCAAATGAAGACTCTCCTGGGAAGTTCACAGCATTCTCATCTCATCTGACCAAGTCACGGGATCATGTGGGATCGGAGAGCCAAGACTTCTCTGGTCTGAGCAAATGGACACCCAAACCCAGGCTTCTTCCTCCCACACCTGTATCCAGGGGAGAGCAGGGATCCATTGCAAGCACAGTGAGATGGGGCACCCCAGGCCCTGGCAGCTCACCGAGGGTCAGCAGCTGCAGCAAGGAAAAGTGAGTTTTTCGGGGAAAGAAGAAGGCTCTGAACTCTGATTCCTGGGGGGAGCCAGCTGGAGGTGCGGGGAGCTTTTCTGGCTGGCTCTGGCAGCAGTTGCAAGTACCAGAGGCTTGCCACCCGATTGCTCTTAGAAGTAACATCCCTCCCTGTCCTTTGGACCAATGTCCTTCCTCATGGGAGGATTCCTCAAGGTCTTCTCATTTCACAACTAGGAGAGCAGATCCCCCTTTCCAATCCCTACCTCGTTCTTCTGTTCCAAAACTGCCAGCGCGTCTCCAGAGTTCCCACAGCCAGCCTGCAAGTTGCCTCCCCATTTTGGCCTCCCAGGAACCTGGCCAGTTTCTTTCAGGAGCCCAGCAAGCTTCCACATTATCCCCAGGAGAGCCGGGGCCACCTTTCTGGTCTCCCCTCTGCTCCTCTCCCTGCTCTGCAAAGCCTGGCCCACCCAACCTCTCTCTAGAGAGCCTCACTCCTTGAAGAGAGCTCTTTCTCTCTCTGGCTCTACCCATTAAGCACTCCTGCCCCAGCCTTTCACTTCCTAGTTGCATGACTCAAATAAACTATCAGATCCCTCTTCGTCTCCATTTCCTCCTCTGCAAAAAGGGTCTAACAATACCTATCTCCTTGGGTGTCTTCAGAATTAAATGAGAAATGGCACCCTGAGCCTTTTAGCATGGCTGTGAGCCATGAGCAGGCACCCACCAGTGGAATCCCACCTCCCCATCCTGTTAAATGTTTTCCGTTTCATTCTCCCACAAGGGATGCATCTTACACTCTTCTCTCCCTCCCTCCCAAAGTCCCTGGCTCAGTGCTGAGCAAACTGAATGCTCCAAAAGTGCAGTAATACATCAATTAACTCAGAGGACGCCTCCAGAAACAAGCTCTGTGGGGCACTCTCAGGGGTGGAAAAAAGATGGACCCTGTCACTGCACACCAAGAAGGCCCTGAAACCCCTTGGCCCCAAAAGGCTCCCTGTTGGTGGTCAGGAAACAGCCCACATAGCCCCTCCCTGGGGCGTTTTCACCACCACGCTGGACTGCCAAGCAAACCACCTTCCACAGCATTTCCTGGGGCTCCCAATGCTGGTGGATTTCTCCCGGGGCTCACCTGATTCATCAGGTGAGAAAGATGAGAGCTCTTCGGGAAGGAATTCAGCCAGGAAGCTCTGCACAGGCTTCCCAGAGGAGGGACAAATGGCAGTTGGCAGGGTGGGGTCAGAGGGGGGAGAGGTGTACAGAGGCAACAAGAAAGTTACGCTGCAACTTCATTCACTTCCTGCTCAACTGCTCCAGTGGGAACCCCGTCCCTCCCACCCATGTCCTCCCAGACCTGGGCTTCCTCTGGTGGAGTGATCCATGCAGCCCAACCTCTGAGGCTGTGGGTACTGTGGTCCAGGGGCACAGTTGTGGGGACAGCATGGAGGACCAGAAACCAGTCAGGAGGCAAGGGAACCCACTCCTGGCCTCCTTGTTCTCCCTGACTGGGCCCCTCAGCAGGCACCTCCAGCTCCCTCTGCCCAAAGCTCCCTGGGGGAAAAGGCCGAGTCAGCACTCCTGCCACCACTCTCCCAGGGCTTGGCTTTACACAAGGGCTGGGGCTCTGGGAATGGCCATCCTCTTCCTCCTCCCTCCCGCTGCTCCCTCACAGAGGAGTGAGGCTCAGGAAGGAGTGCAGGGAGGCCTGTGCTCTGTGTGCTTTGTGTTTGTCCAGCCTGCAACTCCAGGTTGGTCTGGAATTCAGGAGGGACTCTTCCTGGTGAGAATGTGGGTCGCCTTGGCCCGCCTTTCCTTCTCCTGGGCAGATGTGAGTCTTGGATGCCCATGGCACACCAGGCCAGGCCAGAGGCTTCAGGCTTTCCAGGGGCTGTCTGGTCCTTGCACAGAACTGCATTCACTGCTCTGACCGTCCCCTTTCACTCACCCCAACCCCGAATTAAATGGGAAGCAAGAGTTGGTCCCAGCACCCAGCGCCTTTCACTCCTGTCAGCCCCCAAGATGTGCATCTTTTCCTTTAACTCCCATATTCTTGGCGATGGATCTATCTATCCCCATATTTTGCTATCACCCTTGAAAAAGCAGCAGGAAGACAAGGGTACCATTTGGGGGTTTGTTTGGTTGGTTTTCTGTTGGTAGAGTTTTGGCATCTTTAGCAGCTCTTTTGCCGTTCAAGATCTGTCCACTCTGGAGGGGCGCCTGCTTGGCCAGGGCCGCCCAAACAGCATCTCTCTCTCTCTCTCTCTCTCTCTCTCTCTCTCTCTCTCTCTCTCTCTCTCTCACACACACACACACACACACACACACACACACACTCACACACAGGCACCCAGTCTGTCGTTTCATCTTCATGGCATAAAACTGTCCCCACAGAGCTCGACCGGAGCGTGGGGATGCCGCATGCCACAAGCCGTCCTTGAAGACCAAGTGTGGACAAGAAAATATAAACAGCCCCCTCCCCGCCCGAGACGTGAGACGAGCGAAAGAACCCTGGAGCCCGGATGGTGCGGGACCCCAGTAGCGCACCAGTCCTGGGACAGGGCGAGGGACTCGCTGGGGACCGCTGGGCCGAGCCCCTGGTTCCCCGGGCGCGCAGGGCCGGCCGGGTGGTCCGGGAGGCCGGGCGGGGGTCCCGCAGCCCGCCTTCTCCCAGGCGGCGGCCCCGGCTCCCCTCCCCCGCCGCCCGCCACATCTGGTTCCACTCAGGTCCTCCCCCACCTCCAAGCGCGCTCCTCCTCCCCTCTCCTCCCCCGCTCGCAGAAAAGCCGAGACGATTTTTAAAAACCCAGTCACACACACAGGCACACGCACACACGCTTCTGGGGAAAAGAGGGGGGAAAGGAGGGAAAAGTCTGGAGAGGCCCGTTTCCCGCGCCCGGCCCCCGAAGTTGGCCAAGTTGGCAGCGCCTTACCCGGGAGGGCGGCGGCGGCGGCGGCCCCGGGAGGGTTGAGGTGCAGGCCCCCCAGGAGCAGGACGCATCGCAGCAGGTGACGAGGCCAGCGTGCGGGGGACTGAAGGATGGGCCCCATCCCCGCGGCGCTCAGTGGACGCGGGACCGAGGGCGCAGGGGGCGGTGCGCGGTGGCAGCCCTGGCGATGGCTGAGGTGGCTGAGGGGCTCGCGTCCTCCTCCGGGTTGGGACGAAGTGATGCCTCCCGGGGAGGAGGAGGGAAGAGGCAGGCCGGGCGGAGGGAGGGCGGAGGGAGGAGCGCAGAACTCGGGAGGAGGGTTGGAGGGGCAGAGGGGAAGGGAAGCGGGCAGCGTGGGAGGGGAAGGGGAGGAGGCGTTGGGGCTGGGGACCAGGCTGCAGAGAAAGCGTCAGGAGGCAGAGAAGGGGGAGGAGGATCCGCGCGGTCAAGGAGGACCCCGGCGTGCGTTCTTTTTCTCCCGGTTTCCTAATCTCTCCCCGCCGCGCCTTCCCTCGCTTTTCTGTCCCGACCTGGAGCCCCAGACGCTGCGTCACAACTCCCCAACTGGCGCGGGCGGGGAAGCAACTGCAAAACTTTCCGCAAACTTCACCGCGTGGCGGGACCTAGGCTGCGAAGCCCCGCCAGCCGAGGGCGGGGGCGAGTGGCTGACCCAGGTGGCTAGACCAAGCTGCCAGCACCCACTCCATCCAGGCCACACCAAGCCGCCAGCACCCCCTCCATCCCGCCTCCTTCTGCCAAAATTTCTAGCAGCCAAGCATCCGCTGCTTCTTTGCCTAGGACCACCCCTCCCCCGGTCTGGAGAAGGGGCGGAGCCCTGGGTCCCGCCACCAGGGTGAAGAATGGGGGAGGGGAAGTCAGGGCCCCAGTTAAGTCCGAAAGCCAAAAGTTATTGCCCGTCCTGTTTTAGCATTTATGTGACCCCTGTGTTATTGTCACTGGCTGAATAGAAATGTAGCGCCTTTGCTGGTTGGAGCCGCATCCAGAAACCTGGAAAAAATCTGTCCACTTGATGTCCCAGAAGACCGGCATCACTCCCACCAACTGGCCGGTAGCAAAGGACCAAATGGAAATTTCATAAACCGGGAAGACAATCCAGTTATTCAGTATTACGCAACAGGCCGCTGCAGCGCAGAGCACTGGATTGGGAGTCAGGGGCAGGAGGCCAGCCCCAGGTCTACTCATATTCCCTGAGCAACCCTAGAAAAATCGCCTGTGATCCCTGGGCTAAGTAAGAGCAGGACTGAGACATTTGGATGGAGATCCTAAATGCAAAAGAGACTCACGTTCTCCCACCCCAAGTAATCAAATAAATACACTATGAAACTGTAATATAAATTTTATTGTTTTCCTGGGCTGTCCACCGTGGTACTTTTTTGGAACAAACAAGTTGGGCTTCTTTTTTTTTCCTCCAGCCGTAATCTTCCCCATCACTTAGCTCCTCCCATCTGTGCCAGCTGATTTTCTTGGCAAATAATCAGATCAGTGATTGCATGCCCCAAAGGCTGCACCCACCAAAGCCCCCTACAGTGTCTTGGAAAGGCTCCACTAGCCACACTCTGGTCCTGAAAGACAGTCAGCAGCCACACCAAAAAACCCCTGGCTACACGGCTAGCTTGGGCAGCCCTGACAAGGCCAGGTGGCCTTCTGGAAACTGATTCTTCAATGCCCCTTGGGATGTGTCTTCTTGGTGTGGCATGTCCTGTGACCCCCAGGGCCCTGCACGCGAATGGCTGTGCTGGGGCTGCCTCCAAGATCCTCCTCTTGGTCTTTCCTCTACCAGCCCTGTATCTGCAAGAGATTTGAGGATTTGCCATCTTCAGCTGAGCCACCCTCTCCCTGTCTGAAGAGCACAAACTCAGGATACTTCTGGAATGGGGCTGGATCCCCGCTTCTTGACCAGCCTGAATAGGTTTTGGCATTCACCCACTGACAGGGCAGAAGCCAACTCCCTGACATCACCGGACTGTGATGTGGCTCCAGAGAGTCCACCACTTGCCAGCACGCGGTCCACTATGTGTCCAGCAAGAGGTGGGCTTGTTCCTGTCCCCCACAGTCACTGAGCTTGTGCTGCTCCCCTGTGCCAGCTGCCAGGAGACACAGATGGGCAGGCACAGCCACAGCCCTACCAGCTCCATTTGGTAAGGAAAAGTAAATGAAATTTTTGCCACATTCCAGGCAGAGAAGATTCTGCTCAAGGGCTGAGAAGCATGAACGAGCACTGCATGGGCCAGGACAGAGGTCAGTTCAAGCCACTGAGGCCCTGTTTCAGTCTCTGCGGAAGGGGGCACTTCCTGCTCCAGCGCACCAGCATTCCTCACTGCTCATCATCTATCTGAGCACASGACTCCGGCCACCATCTGCCTTTGATCTTGAGCTCGAAAGGCAGAGAGCAGGGCCACATCTGGACAATTCTGTGGAGAATCCAGCCCAGTTCCCTACTTCTTAAAGCTCCTAGGCAGGCTTGGTTGTCAATAGAACATGGCCACAGTTTGCAAGAGCCTTGTGTGTTGTGAGGGCTCGGGATTTCGAGGAACCCAGCACTCAGATCCTTATCTGTTTTCAAGAAAGGCCAGAATCCTCTGTGCCCATGCCCCCCACCCCCACCCCTACTCCCATGAAAGCTCAGCTGAATGCTCTTTACTGAGGGCTTATGAGGTACCAGGCATCAGGCCAGATGCTTGCGTCTTAGTGAGGTTTCTGACTGGTTGCAGGAGATTTTTGCCAAGATGATACTTGCTATAGTGGAATCAATACTGAGAAATGGCTTTCCACAGGCCCTGGGGCGAGGGGGCAGGGTGGTGTGTCTGTGATTTCATTAAGTTTAGTAAAAGGAGTACAGACTTGGAGTCAGACCCAAGTTAAGAATCTGAGTTCCATTTACCCACCTTGTGACAGTTACTTTAGCTCTTTACTGTTAGCAAGTTACTTCAGCTCTTTCCAAGCTCATAATTCTTATTTGTAAATGGGCAACCTTGTTTTCTGTCTTCCTTTGCAATTTGGACATCAGGGCACTTCCCTTCAAATCCTGTCCCTTCATCTAGCCTGCCTCTCCCTGCCCCCTCCCCACTGCCTTTGAGATGTGCATGGGTCAGATTTATCAGGATTGGGATACTGGGTGTCCCAAGAACAATACAACCTCCCCTCACTGTCCCAACATCTCAAGTGTTTAACTGTGGGCAAAAATGGTATCTTGAAGTGTAAATGAATCCAGGCAGAAGCATCTTCATGCTCACTGTGCCTTGCTAAACAAAACAAAACAAAACCCCACATTCACAAACAGGTCAAGTTGGGGCAGTGAAGTCAAGACCACACTGAGTTCCTGTTCTGCCATTCACTTAGCCACACATCCTTAACAAGTCACTTCCCTTCTGAGCCTCAGGAACCTCTGAGGAATGCATTTGGGTATGGGTACTCACTGTGCTTAGTAGGTTCCTTGGCATGAGTGTCCTCTTTTCTGGTTCTGGGGCTTAGCAGCTTCTGCCACTGGAGGGCGCCGGGGAGAGCAGAGCACCCTTCCAGGCCAGGCCTACAACACAAGCTGAGGAAAAGGGAGCACAAGCAGGGAGGAAGAAGGCAGCTGGGTGGTCAGGCAGGGTGGGAGGCTGTAAAGACAGACTTGGCAGCTCCTGCCTGAGGCAACTAGAGAAAGGGGTATGACCCTGTCTACCAGCTCCCTGGCTACGGTATCACAAATGAAAGCCCATGGGGCTCTACTCAGGCAAGCCACCTGCTCCACCAGAAGGTGGCGGACTCAGGATTCACATGGCCCCAAATATCCAAGATTGGCTCTGCCTGCTCCAGGTTGTGCAGCCTTGGGAAAGTCTGTTTCCCCCACCTCCACATCACTGTGGAGTTTTGTGGTTGGTCTGATTTCTCTTGACTGGACTACCCCATTATGGCCACAAATCGAACTTGAGAAGAAAACTCTGCCCACTCTCCGTAGATCCTACCCTTTTCCCTCTTATGGGTAACACCTAGAAGGGCTTCTCCACCTCAGGAGGGCCTCTGAATGTAGTCCACTCACTTTCAACACAAGGCCTGTATTTGAAGAACACACTTTTAAAGTGACTCCCAACTCTGGCTTTTTCCCCTAGGGGCTGCAGATGGATACCTCACAGTGCCTTCCAGGAAGAAGGGGGTCTAGGAGTCCAGACTCTGATTCCCAAGAACATGGGACATGAAATCCCACTTAGAAGAGCCACAGGAATGTTGTCAGCTGTCAGCAGGGCCCTGGAGTTAAGCTCTGATCAAGAGGGCTCAAGGACTGGGAGCCCAGGCTTCAGCAGGGGCCACAAAACCAATGTCTCTGATAATCACTGGCTCTGGTCTCTGCTTGGGAGCGAGAGGGGCAAAGTTGGCCTGAGGCACTATAGCAAGGAACGGAGGGGACCACAGAGTTGAGCTGAAGAATGAGCTACAGTAGAGTGGGATGTAGTCCCAGAATTTTCTATTGCCCTACCCAGTGAGTGTGAGTGAAGGTGAAGGACACTCTATCACTCTGCTTTGTAAGGGCCTCTCCAATCTGGAGCTGCAGTACCTCTGAARCCTGTTCCTGTGCTGGGGATGGGGCTGAGTCAGGAGTCTGGACTTCCTCTGGCCACAGCTCTGGCTGGGCTGGTAACTTCTGTACCTCCTTCCTTCTTTAAGATGCCGTCCTTGCTGCTGCCTGTCCCCTGCCTCCATCTCTCCAGCTCAGGAAGGACGGATGGGGTGGGATTTGCTCAAAACTCAGTACTTGTACCTCTGAAGCAAGACTGGGCCCAGCAACAGTGGCCCAGAGGATATAAAAGCAAAGGGTGGTTTTGCAGGAATAGAGCCAGCCTTCCCTAGGCCTCTGGCAGAGTAGAGCCCTGGACCAAAAAAAAGAGCCAGGTGGCTGCATCCAGCTGACCACACCATCCCTAACCCAGCCCAAGAGGCTGGCCAAACTTTTCCCAGCCCCCAGTGGAACAGCAAATAGTAGATGGGGCACCTTGGAGACTCTGCAATGTTTTCCAGCTTTCTAGAGGGTGGTGACCAACATAAATGTCATAGTGCATTGCATGTGAGTGAAGTTCTATTCTGTGGAATATGTACTGGGTGGAGATGTAAAGTATATCATGGAGTTGCTGCCATTCAACAAATCTGAAGAACACTGCTATTGAGGACCCGCCACGTTCCCCCCCAGCTATTCCTGCTGAGTCCCTGACCAAAGCAC